TTTTTTTAATATATTTTATTGATTTTTTACAGAGAGGAAGGGAGAGGGATAGAGAGTTAGAAATATCGATGAGAGAGAAACACCGATCAGCTGCCTCCTGCACACTCCCCACTGGGGATGTGCCCGCAACCAAGGTACATGCCCTTGACCAGAATCGAACCCGGGACCCTTGAGTCCACAGGCCAATGCTCTATCCACTGAGCCAAACCAGTTAGGGCAATTAATTCCCTTTTAATGTGCACGAATTTCGTGCACCGGGCTACTAGTAGTTCCTATAACAAGAGTAACTTCTCTTATTCCCACTCATCAGGTTCTTTAAAGCTGTTCTAGACCCTTGCCCTGCTCTCTCTCAGGATAAGTGCCCAGCTGAGAGCACTGTCCACCTTCTCCCTGAGGACACCAACAGGCTCTCACTTCAAACAGGAGTCTTGTGGGGGGGGGGGCAGGGGGTTGTGTCGAGGCCTTGGGCAAGGGGAAATGTGCTGCATATCTGGCTGCAACTCAGTTCCCTATAGCATATACATGGGCAGGTCTGGAATCTATGCCACATCTCAATAGATGTTGTTACTTGTGACATGGAATTCCATGGTTAGACAGGAAATTCACAGAGTCTAATACAAGAGCTTTGTTAACTATTTGATATGGAAAATCAGACAATGCTGGCTGTTTCAAAAGAAAACGACATGAGTTCAATGAATTATTTACAAACATTTAAAAATATTTGTTTATTCTTCCTTCCGAAGACATTTACATTTTCCATTCAGAGAGATGAAAAAGCTAGAAATGAACCCTAAGGTGATGACCATTAAGCAAACCAAGACATCGCTAACATACATGAGCAGGTGGGCTCCTGTTAAATGAGACCAAGGAAATACCAAATTAAGAAGATGCATCCAGCCCTAACCGGTTTGGCTCAGTGGATAGAGCGTCGGCCTGTGGACTCAAGGGTCCCAGGTTCGATTCTGGTCAAGGGCATGTACCTTGGTTGCGGGCACATCCCCAGTGGGGAGTGTGCAGGAGGCAGCTGATCGGTGTTTCTCTCTCATCGATATTTCTAACTCTCTATCCCTCTCCCTTCCTCTCTGTAAAAAATCAATAAAATATATTAAAAAAAAAAAGAAGTGCATCCAAACTCATTAACATTTAGACATTCCTTTGGAGGAATGAAGGAGAGGAGAGGTATTGTGGGTTGAATCATGTCCCCCCAAAAGTCCTAACCCCCAGGACCTGTGAATGTAACCCTATTTGAAAACAGGGCCTTTGCAGATGTAATCAAGTTAGTATGAGGTCACAGTGGAATTAGGATGGGCCCTAAATCCAATGATTGATGTCCTTATAAGAAGGCCATGTGATGACAGAGACAGAGATTCCCATAAACCCTGTGGTTTCCATTGCACAATTATGAATAGTGTAGGAAATTTTAGAAATGCATTATGTCATATGATAGCAGAGCTGACTATATTTTACTAGCCCAAGGCCCTGTCTAGTTCTGCTCCCAAAGGACCTCAATGTGAAGTGACACAGTGCTATTTTCCACACTCTGTTCTAGCCAGGGTGGGCTCATCATTTCTGTTGTAAAGAGCCTGCAAATGGGCCACCTGAAGGCAAAAACCAGCCACTGGATAATTTTTGTTTGGCTTCCCAAAGTTTAAAAATTTAAAAAACTGGTTACCAACATCTAAAAATAGAGTATTTCCCATAAAAATCAGATCTATAGTTCTCCTGACAAACTGGAAGCTCTGGCCATCCAGGCCCAATTCCTCCATGGCATAGGCTAGCTGGGTGTAACTGCCTCTTTAGATCTTTAGAGCCAGGGGCACAAGCTCTTTGGTTCATCTCAATCCCTACACCTTGGCAACCTGGTCCTGTAAACACCTGAGTTTGTGATTCTGAGATAGGGCTTTGCAGCTAGAGCCATAGATGAAATGCTTGCTCTACTGCTTTCTAATTGCATCAATGTGAAGCATTTATATGAGCCTTCTGAGCCTCTTTTTACATATCTATGAAAAAGGATTACTAGGAAAGTGAAATA